GCCCGGGGGGGGGGGGGCGCCGATCCACCCCCATGCTTGCCTGTGGTCTTTGAAGTTGGCGCTGTGCGTGTGTGCGCTGACATCTGCCACCTGGGCCTCTGATCAAGCGGCCTCCTCAACCTAGCTCTCATCTCAAGCGCTCTTTCACCCCAGATCTCGGTCTCCCACAACAATCCGCAGAAATGCACAGGCTGTCAGGGAGACCCACTAGCCATCACCAGCTGCACCACCATCCAGGGCTCTGCAACCCGCAACGTGTCCTCCCACCTCCTGCCCAACCTCGTCCACCAGTGCCTCGCTGAGGCCCATCTTGCTGAGCTGGCGCTGGAACACCTGCGGGACCGTCATGGAGTCACAGGTTGCGGGTGGTGCCAGCAAAAGTTGATGCAACGGGCGCGTGCGTTTTGAGTCATGTACTTTATGAGTTGTATGCAGAATGCCAGGTTCTGGCATTTGGAGCATTTGCAGCGCGGCAGCCTCGCGCACTGCGTGCGACACCTGTGGGCCATTCTCCCCCCCCCCCAAAAAAACCGAGGCTGCGCGCCCATGCCTTTCCACCTTCTCTTCAATCGAGCCAGCTGTCAAGAGACGGTAGATCCAGACCCGCTTGCGCTGGCCCTCGCGCCATACCTGCGGGGGTCGATGCAGCGCAGGGACGGACTGGGCATGGCAAGGGACAAAAAAACCAACCTGGCTCAGCAGGGCGGCCAGCCAATCAAAGGATCTTGCAGAGTCCATGAGGTCTGCAGAGCGCGCGCAGAAGCAGGCCGGCCGCGGCCGAGGTCCGGCGCAAGCCCATCCACGGTGTCACCGCGGCAGCGAAACTCACCCGCGCCATGGCTTGGAGATCGTTGGCCGGATTCCAGTCAGCGTCAAAGAGGACGAGGCGGTTGGCTCCGATGATGTTGAGGCCCACGCCGCCCGCTTTTGAAGAGAGCTGGCGCCGCGGCCGGGAGCGGGCCAGCAGGCGCGTTGCAGCGTGTGGTCAGCGACCAAGGAGCGTGCTCAGAATTCCTCACTCGTGTTTCCTCTGTCCACCAAGGTGCCGGCCTGTGTTCCTGCCTTTTGCAACTAACCAGGAAGGATAGAAGCTTTGGCACTTCCACGCCTGCCATTGATCGCAACGCATCAGGATGTACAAATGACCACGATCACCCTACCCGCCGCCACTCGGCCCCAAACTCCTGCCCACCAGGAAGCAATATGACTTGTCTGTTGAGTCGTTGAAGCGGTCCACCAGCCCCTGGCGCTGCTTCACGCTGCAGGAGCCGTCCAGGCGCAGCGTCCCCCACTTGTTGGCGGCGCACATGCGCCCCAGGACGTCTAGCGCCTGAAAGGGGGGTGGCACCAGGTTGGGGGCGCCAGGATTATTAGGGGCTCCGAGGTGGGGGACGCCAGCGTGGGTGGCTCTGGGATGGGGTTGAGGTATGCTGTAAAGGAGGAAGCTTTCGTTTTCAAGGCGCAAGAAAGGTGTGGAGGCACAGATGGCATGGTCAGAGGCAACTGTGTGAATCTTGCAACACAGTAGATTGTAGCTAGGACCAGGGCTGCTTGAGTACTCCCTCTTACTTGTGTGTAGTTGGAAACAAGGACAACCTGCGGGTTGCGGTCAGCAGGGCTAGTGTTGGTGCGGTGCGAGAGTGTTGGGGCATACTAGTGAATGGTTCCAAGGGGGTGTGCTGCAGTGCATGCAGCTGCATGGAAGGTGGAACAAGGTCCGTTCGAAATCCAGCCCCTACGCCCGCCAACCTTGTCTGTGGGCTCGCTGGTTTTGATGGCTTTCAGCAGCGCCTGCAGCACCATCACTTTGCCTAAACGGCAGCGGTTTAAGGGCGTGATGCAACGGGGTCGTAGGCAGCTGCAAACACGTTGAGCCGCTTCCGGAAGCCTGGCCACGAGGGCCAAGCGCTTGGGCAGGGACTGGGCAGGTGCGTTTGCTGGTCCGCTTGCATCACGCTGCCTCTGGTGGATCCCAGGGTCCCCAGGGCCCACCTGAGTGGAATGCCTGGCACTCCGCCGGCTTGTAAGCAGGGTAGACTGCCGGGTGCAAGAAGCATGGGTGGCAGCCCTCAAACCCCGTCAGCTGGCCGCCGCCACCGCCGCCCCGGCCGCCGCCGGCACCACCGGAAGTGCCAGCGGCGGCACCGCTGACATCCTCAGGGTCGCTGCCCTGCAGCAGCTCGGGCATGGAGTAGCACGGCGGGGCTGAGGCGGCGCGCGCGCTGACGCGTTGCGGGGGTGGCCTGGTGCTGGCGCCAGGGGCGGCGCCCAGTTCAAATACAAGGTCTGGGTCTGTTGGGGCGGGTGGAGAGCAGCACGTTCAGGTTTGGTTGATGAGGCTGCTACGAGCAGATCAGCTTCTAGAGGGCTCGAAACACTCGAAAGAGGGTGCAGCAATCCGCACAGAGCAGCTGTGCATTCCAAACAGATTGACCCCTTCAAACCGTCCTCCCTGATGCTGACTCACGACAACAAAGCTTCTTCAAAGCGGTGATGGCGGCCAGTGGCGCAAGAGTCTCCTCCTTTGGCTGCCTGGGAGCCTTCGCGGCCCCTCCAGACGGCGCGCCGCCTCCGCCCCCACTCTTGCCACGCCCGCTGCGGGCGCCGGCGCCGCGGCCACCGCCAGACGCGGCGCCAGCAGAACATCCTGTTTCTATTGGCGCCGTCGATGACAGCAGCTGCTGGACCGGTTTGCTGTTGAGGAAAAACTCGTAGAGGCGCAGCTGCAGGGGGCTCAACCGGCAAAACACAACCTGGGGGTGCAGTTGGGGCCGCATGCATGCTCCTCACTTCCTACACCGTTGGCCGCTTGCGCAGCGCGATGCCCGCTTGACCCTTTGTGTTTTTCCTGGCCCAGATTGCGATTGCTTGTCTCAAAACTCATACTGCATGCACGTGAGCACATGCCTGCGCACACACGCGCACACACAGGTACATGCACACACTCTCTTGCTTTGTCTGTCTCACAAACAGACTCACAAACACACACACACACACACATGCGCACATGCTCACATGTGCGTACGCACACAAACACAAACATACATGCGCACATAAAAGCACACGGACACACACACATACCTGCTCGACCTTTGCAGGCAGCAGCTGTTTGAGGATGGTTGACGTGCGCCGCAGCATGAACCTGTTGCACAGCTTCATGAGCTCGTTCATGGCCGCCAGGCCACGCTCCACCTGGCCGTCTGTGGCGTCCGCGTCGCGGCCACGCTGGATGGGCAGCTCGTACTGGGCGTGTCGGGGAGGTGGGTCAGGAAGCGGCGGGTGCACCGGATTGGGCGGGGTTGGCCGGGAAATCTCAGGGCTTGGAAGAGCAATCCAGCGGCTGGAACCGCAGATGAGCGGCAGCCAAGTTCTATCAGTGCTTGTTTGGAGTGCTTATTTGAAATGAAAAGAAAAAGAGGTAAACTCTGTATGTTAGAGATGCCGAGTCAAAAGGATGTCAACTCGATCCGAGCGCCCTAACTCACACCCAGCCAACAAGCGGCGCCTGGCTGTCCTGGCCCCCCGCTTCCCTCACCCCACCTTGCGCCCTCACCCCACCTTGCGCCTGAACTCGCTCGCGTCCCCCAGAAGTCCTGGGCAGGCCACGTCAAACACGGCATGGAACTCTGAAAGGTCGTTCTGGATGGGGGTGCCTGCAAGGGTGCAAAGCCGGGGGAATTGGATGTAATGGTAACCAAACAGAACGTCAGGGCCGCAGCTGTCCTGTCCAAGGTTGAATGCCGACAAACATCACATTGCCACGATACTCTTGAACAGGAGGCCTGAATAAGGAACTCTTCCTTTGGCCTGACTGCATCCCTGAGGCAGCAGGCGGCGGCGCGACATTCAGAAGGCCCAGCGTTCGGAGGCCCCCGCCCCCCGACAAGCACCAGAGATGAGGAGGCGCCGCCGCGTGGCCAAGCCCGCCACTGCCTGTGTGATCTGTGCATCTGTGTTTTTGAGCTGGTGGGCCTCGTCACACATCTGTGCGTGAGAATCGTGCCAAAAGAGTCAATGATCACCAACACTCTGTGACCAGGTTTCTGATTGAGGACCCAGAAACCGTAACAAAACTCATCAGCTGGCAAGCACCCTTGACCCACGCATTGGCGCCTGGCCAACACCAGCCAGTCGCACCCAAAAGTGCCCACCACAATGTCAATGCCCAGCTTGGCGACCTCGGCCTTGTGCATCCTGAGGAGTAATGGAAGGAAAGGTGCAGGGTGCCCGCTGTACTTTTCTTCTGGTCAGTATCCACTCAGGTCAGTCAACCAACCCCTCTCCACCAGATGCTGCAGGCCGCACACCTGAAGGTAGTGTAAGACATGATTAAAATCTTGGGCTTGGAGCCAGGGCGAGCAAACCCGCGAAACTCCTGTGGCCATACCGGGGAGCAGAACTGCGGCGTCAGCAACTCAGATGAGCAACTACGGGTCTGCAGCTCTTGGCCACGCTGCCGTTATCCGGCATGCTTGGCTTCCATTCGGCGTGCATGCTAGTGTTCTGCAACAATTGTGCACATGGCAATAGCAGCCATCCTGCATAGGCGTCCCGTTCGCGCTCACAGACAGGGCATCTTTGACGGCTGAAGCCCGCGTGTCGTCCACCACCACCGGCGCCACCCTGTCCCCTAGCCAGCGCGCAAACTCCTGTGGCGGCGGTGGTGATGCAAGGATTGTGGTGCGCCAGCGAGCCAACAGCAAACTATCTGCCCTGATAACGGCGCACAACGATGCTATGCCGAGCTTGAAAAGCTGCAGCTTCCGGTCACTCAGGGCCACAGCCAGGCGCGGTGCCTCACCTTGCCCCAATTCTGCACCAGGCTGCTGGGGCACAGCACGAGGGGCTTCTTGCAGGTGGGGCCCTGAGCCACATGGACCCCCTTGGTCAGCAGGCACCACAGGCTGGCGACCTGCAGAGGGTGGGTTAGAAGTGGCAAACGGGAAAGTGCCGAGCGTGCCGTTACTGTTGCGCCCGGCATATGGTTGCAGAATTGTTGCAGGTGATGCATGCAGAGGCTGCGTGGCTCGCGGCTTGCATGAAGACCACCACATGCGGCATGCCAGCATGCACGCATGCCATGCAGGTCACAGACAACTCCATGCGCACCCAACTCCGCCACCGGCGCGACCCACTGTTTGGAACGTCTTGCCGAGGCCCATGCCGTCCGCCAGCACTGCCCCCGAGACACCGTCCTGCCGCACGCCGCAGAGGCAGCTGAATATGAAGCGCACGCCCTCCCGCTGATGGGCCCGAAGCTTCTCAACCAGGAAAGCTTCAGCGTGCACCTTGACACGTGCAGGGCCAGCAGACTTGGACGCACCAGCCTCTGCCGTGCGCGCAGCCTCCAGTGCAGCCCGCGCCTCAGCGACAGCTGCCTGGAGTGCCTGTACTGCCGCAGCAGGGGTCGGCTGCGCCTGCTTGTCGTCGCCATCGGCGGAACTTTGGCTGCCCTGCTGTGCTGCTGTGGTGCTTGCGCCCTCCGGCCCGTCGCCAGCCTCGTCACACACCCCTGTGGTCGCATATTTGGCCGCGACCGCCCCCTCTGCGGCAGCCAAATGTGCAGACGCGGCGTCCACAGCCGCCGCAGCGCAGCGCAGCGCCGCGAGCTTGGATTGGTAAGCCTCGTCAGTATCGGGATCGTACAGTATCAGATCGCCCGCCTGCTGCTGCCCGCTGCCGTCGCTGGCGGCGTCCACAGCGGCCACGCCGGCCTGCGTCAGGTAGACTCTGCGGTTGAGTGCCGCCAGCAGGTCTGCGCCGGTAGCGCTGTAGTGGCGCTTCATGCCGAGGCTACCGCGCGACTTGAGCTGGGCGTTGGGCAGCGGGCACTGCGAATCGCATCGCGAGGGAGGTGCGGTGGGCGTCATGGGGTGCGGCATGCGTATGAAACTGCTGCATGGGGCGTCTGCATGCATGCATGGGCCATGCGCGCAAACCTTCACATGCGGTTGGGCGTGATGTCGCCCCGAGGCATGCAGAGGAGGCGAGCATGCATATGCTTCCTGTGCGCGCCTGCCGTGCAGCTCGAAAGGCACTGGCTGCGCACCTTGTATTGTGTAATCCGCTGCGCCGCCGGCAGCAGTGTGGCGGTGCTGGCGCTGCTTGAGCTCGGCGTGCCACTGGCTTGCGTTTTGCTGGCGCCGCTCCCATGTCCACCCAGCCAGCCGCACCCGCCAGTGCCGCCTGAACCGACAGACCACGGCGCACCGCCGACACTGTCTCCATCACCGTGCTTGGCACGCAGGGCAGACGGGGCTTGAGAGCGCCTCATGGCGCTGTCTCCTCAAAATTGCGGTGCGGACAACGCCATTCGATACCCCGTGCGACAAGTACTAAGCAGATCACTTGAACTGGACGTCATTGATCGTGAGACCCCATCGAACAATCTTGAGCAGTCAAATAAATGAAGACCACTGTATCTTCAGTCTACAACGACGTGTTTCAATTAGTCAGGCCGCAGCGCCCAGGCTGTGTGATGACAGGCGTCGCCAGTGCTCAGACTGCACTGGAGCACTGCGCTGAGTGATTTCATGTCACACATGAGGTCTGTGTCTCAAAATGATTGCTGCCACAGCAACCAGAGATGGACCGCCTGCTCAGTCGTCCAAGCCCAGAGCACGCAGCTTGGTTTGACTACTGGTATCATGGTCAACCAGCTCCAACCTTGCCGCCCAAGTCCAGTGCAGATGTACCACCGGCAATGCCCCGCCAGGCCACTGTTCCAACCTCGCTGCGGTCACAGTTCTGCTGGAAATACTTGGAGCGGCGGGCCCTTGATCGCTGCAAACTCCGCCGACTGTTGTTTTGGTGAACCCTGGCATCATCGGCGGAC